TATTATCCGCATTTTACAACATTTCGCAACGAAACTTTGGAATATTACTAATTTTGTGATGCTCTTTCAAGCTGTGATGAAATATTTGTCTAGACTTGTTTAGATCAAAATTTTGTCTATTACGCAGATGGTCAATTGAAAGTGTATAAAATGGTCTTACAGCAACATTCACTAGGAATGCAAACAATAAAAAAGGCTCTTAAAATTCATCTCTACCTTAACTGCATTATGATAATATTTGATCTCCAAGATCGATAACAATTAAGCAATTATATTTTATTGCCCCAAAGCATTTTCGATTTAATTACACCTAGCTGAATCGATGCACGTTTGAAACTGAACAGATCCCTTCACAAAGGCACTTATTTCAACTGATCTCCAATCACATCTGGATTGTGTGTGAAATTTACAGCAGTAAAGTAGACATGAATTTCACACAATACGTCAGTAGGGAAAAACTAAAGATGGTTATCCCACAACAAATTGGGGTTTTTTCGTCTGTTTGAAAACGTACATGATAAAATAAACAATCATAATAAAAATTAGGGCAATAATATAGTAGTACATAGTATAAAAATAATAAAATTTTGTAGCTATAGACAGGAAATGTATAGTTTAAAATGGTATGTTTTCAAATCGTGAAAATGGGCCATAAAAACGAAATACATGTCGTTATTTTAAGTCTTTTAAAGCTAGAAATCATGAGACAACGTGAAGATTTCTCTTTAGTCCACTTGAAGATGTTTGTTTGCCTTTGTTACCAATGTAAGACATTTCCTTTCAAAGTGTCGTTCTATAGTTAGAATTTCCCAGCTATTGTGTCTAAATCAAAACTAACCAGATGGCAGGCAAGCGATCTGTTCATTACCTCCGTAGAAAACCGAGTGACATGCCGTCGAACTATATCCAGATTAGACAAGTGAAAATTGTTTTTCTTTTGCGAGATAATTTGGTGAAGGATCGTACTATACGCTCCCAGCCCGACCGCATATACAGACACTCCGCCCTTAAAACCAGTGCTCTTATAGCAATAAGCTCTTAGCGTTTCTCAACCTTCCTACTCCCCTGATTTAGGATCTTGGCTGACCATCTGCATAAACTGTATTATACATAAGAGTGTTTAAGAGCAATCATGGTATGCCATATACCAACGCGAGAGGCGATTAGCCAAACATGATGACTGTCACGCCAGCATGGTCGATTCTTCTGCCTACGTTCGTTTTAACTTATGATAAATTTTACGACTTACGACATCACTCAGGGTGCATCCATTGAATTCTTAAACACCGCAGCGCCAGTGGGGAATCAGCTTTATTCCTTTCTTCCGTGATGTATTGGACAGGTCATAGACATAGTTATTGATGGCGGGGTTCTGAAGTAAGAAAAAGCCTTTTAATATATAATACTTGTGAATATCAAAAAAGGGAAAAAACAATGCCAGACATCAAAGGAGGGTCATGAAAGGGTGAAAAGTGCGCTGGGATTTACCTTTTTTTTACCGGGAAAATGGAATTTGGACGACTGAGAATGGGATTTAGGCTAGCCAGTGCTATAGTAAGCCGTTTAGTGCAAAGGTGTATTAACCTTAGCTTCAAACACCTTTTCGATAATTACTTCAGCCTTATTTAAAGGTTCATAAATTTCATAAATCGTCTTATGTCTTGATTTACAAGAACAAGGGTTCCAGGCAAAGTATTCATGACGTGATTACCGATATGGCGTATTGCGAAACTAACTCAGCTCAACCTGATTGAGTCAAAGCCGGTGTTCTACAAGCGCCTCTGACAACCACCTTACGACTCATGGTGAGTTTGGGGCTTATCCCAACCCACAACCCTGTTAACATTCCCTGTGGGAGAAAAGCAGACTAGCAGGGAGAAAACCCACGATTTTCGGCAGGACGTTTAAATTAACTTTCTCCGCTTTTCACATGAGCGTCACTAGTCTGGAGCGAGAACTCAGAGGTGATAAAGAGGTAAAAGACACTAGCTCTGAGGGCCTTTGATCGAAACATTGGAGTGTTTGCTTTATGTTTTAAGAAGTTTAACGCTGTAATTCCTGAAGTAGATCAGTATGGACCATTTGCATTATAGACTAAATTTTGATCTACACAAAAATTTCATCACAGCTTGAAAGAGCATCACAAAATTAGTAATATTCCCAAATTTCGTTGCCAAATGTTGTAAAATGCGGATAATATAGCCTTGCGAAGTTTGCCGTTTTTCAGTCATTTTAGATTACGCATGGGAAATTGACAGCCCAATAGGGTGTTGGGGCATCAATTTCCCGTTTGTAATACAAAATGACTGAAAATTGCAAACTTCGCAAGGCTATATTATCCGCATTTTACAACATTTTGCAACGAAACTTTGGAATATTACTAATTTTGTGATGCTCTTTCAAGCTGTGATGAAATTTTTGTCTAGATCAAAATTTTAGTTATAAGGGGAAATGTCTATTCCTGAAGTAGATCAGTATTGAATGGTCTGTGACAGTGTAGGTAAAGTGCCAGTAATAGCAAATCTTTGGTTGATACAACCTAGCTGAAAAATACAAGGAGAACTTCGACTTTTCGAGGGAAGGCCCTTCGTCGAGACGTTAGTAGGGTCGACAAAGGGCCTGTCCTTGTATTTTTCAGATTGTTGCATCCCAATCATGCAACAGACGTTTTGTTAGTAGATCAGTCTACCCCATTTCACCCCCCTCGCAGAAATGACAAGGGCACAGGGCCACTTCCCTGTCTCTATTACTTTAAAGAGAATGGTAATTTACGAGTAGATATTTCGTCTCTTTAAGTTTCTCTCCGGATTAACTTAGATTGCAATCAAATGATAAAGGACCAAAGCAAACTAGTATGTGCTTAAATGAGATTACAAATACTGTACATGACTGCCAGATCGAGTTCTGTGCACACCCACACACAAAGTGAAAAATATTTTCTTGTAATGTGTATTTGAAACAAAATTAGGTTAAACTTTGAAAGCTGCGAATTGATAGGGAGACAACCACTTCAAAAATACAAGGAGAACTTGGACGTTTTGAGCGAAGGCAGCTTTCTTATTATTGTGCTTACCTACACTGATTGAGACAGTTGAAGATTATAAAGTTTGAAACTCATGGTCATGCAATTATAGATGGAACCCTCCATGGTGGCTGGAAAGGTGGTCCTGCAAGGTGGTCCAAACCCATCTAATTGACTAACGCATGAATTATGTCCCATTGGCGCCATAGACAGCTCATGCCTGGTTACCATTGTGATGTCAACAAAGGAATGACACAATGGAACAAATAGGGTGGCCAACCATTTCAATAGATTGTACTCTTGGCACAATGCCTTCGTCCTCTTGTCCTGATTTCCCGATGTTATTTCCTTACGTTTTCGGCACAACAGGGTTTAGGATAGAGTTTGTGATTGGGCTCAAGATCACAAAGAAACATATTCGTGCACATGGGGATATATAACCTTCACGTGTCATGCTGAAACAGGCAAACATGGAAACGAGGCGATGAGGCAAAAGTAAAGTATATTTAAAGTATATTTTTGCTAGCCTGACGCTCATTGAAATAATAAAACTACCAAACGATTTTATGAATGCAAAACTGTATAACTTCTAGCTCCAGTGATTGTTTCAAGCTTTCTCGAATTGCGCACAATGCTCTCTTGGCACAATTCCCTCGTCCTGATTTCCCTAGGTTATTTCCTTATATGTTTTGTGCAAAATTTTGTGGTTTAGGATAGAGTTTGTGATTGGGCTCAAGATCAAAGAGAAATATGCCATGCTGAAACAGGAAAACATGAAAACGAGACGATGAGCCAAATGTGCAATAAACAGTAAAGTATATTTACATGGGAACGAGTTGGATGATCCGCGAGATTGAGCGCAAAACCTGTGCTTTGCTAGTCTGACGCTCATTAAAATAATAAAACTACCAAACGATTTTATGAATACAAAAGTCAAAACTGTATAACTTCTAGTAATTTTTTCAAGCTTTTTAAATTGCGCGTTAATCGATAAATACTCAGATTAAAGTTTAGTATTTAAAAGTTAACGTTTTTTATACTTCTTTTGGGGTTCAAATCTGTTGTTTCACAGCTTTTCAGACATTTTTTTACAAAGGTTGAAAAAAGAAGACCAGATGGCGCTATCTACCGGATTGTAATTTTTTCAACCAATGTAAAAACGCTTGAAAAGTGATAAAACTACAAATATGGATGCCAAAATAAATAAAAGGAAGCTTTAAGTTTTATGTACTAAAGTTTAATCCGCGATATACCAGTCGACAGCCAATTTAGAAAAGAATAACCTTGTGTTAAATAGTCTTAAACTGTCTTTGCCAGTGTAGGTAATGTCAATAATATAAACTAGCTTTCGTTGCTAGGAATGCAACTACCTGAAAACTATAAGGAGAATTTCAAGCGAAGGCCCTTGATATGGAGTTACTAGCCAGTAACTGCAGCTTTGGCTAGTAACTCCATACCTTCGCTCTCAACGCCGAAATTCTCCTTATATTTTTCAGGTAGTTGCATCCTACCAACGAAAGCTTGTTCATCCTGTCGTGTAGAATAAAACATGTTGCGATATTGACATTCCCATGTAGTATACATTCATATATTAGCTATTTCGATGCGTTCGTCTGATAAGAATCAAAGCCCAAACACTTAGAATCTTTATCTACTTTCTAATCATGATTAGCTGCTTAAATCATGATCAGCTATTTAAGACAAAACTAAAATACAACATTGCTATCCCATTTAAGGACAATGACGTCATTAGCGTATCATTATGAAGAGGCTGTCAATCAATTTTGGACAAGAAAGAGAGTTTGCAAAAAAACAGTCGATGGACAAAATACATAGTCTACATAGTACATATGTCTTTCTTTGAGCACAGTTTATAGCTTTGAGGTGGCCTAGACCTCTAGAGAAACGTTTATCACCAAAGCAACGGCACTCAAAAAACAAACTAAAGTAATTTTCAAATTATAATTTATTGATCTTCTTGCGAATGCGTATTTTCAGATGTCCACTTGTGTTTCAAATAATTACAGTATGCAATCCTAATAATCACAATTTAAACTATATCTATATACAAATAAAAATATAGGGTCTGTTCCATAAGTTCATCGGTTAAATAAGTTTATTTCTTCGGTGCATTTTTGCGTTCCTGCGCTAGTTCGATGCGTTCTAGATTTCTTACTATAGTCTCTTTCTGTCGTGATGAATTCTTATGGGTCGAAACGAAAGTTTGCGCATTTCAAATGGCGCATTTTCGAATAAGGCGTTGCCTCGTGCGATGCTTCGTCTCAGGGTTTTCACGGTTTGCGCAAAACATTCCGATCTGTGCATGCATTATCCGCGGTCTGTTCTGTGGACATAACACTCCATTCTGTGGACATAGCTCGTTCCTTCATGTGGTTATAAAAACTCGTTCATATAAGCTTCTTATAAGTTAAGTATCAGTCGTTTTATGAATTTTCTCAGCTTGCGCATTTTTCTGTCCTTCCTGTCATGACTTTGGCTTGCTGGTGTCTTTTTCTGTTAAAAAAGAAAAGCTTATTTAGCATATCAATTACAATTACGAAACTAATCCGAAAAAAACTATGCATTTTAACACATCTATTTTAAAAACTGCTGTTAAAATGCAAACTTGTTTTCGGAATAACATTAGTTTGATATTTGCTGAAACTATCAGCTTTTTGTCTAGA